GCGGTGGACGGGGCGAGGGCAGGCGATGTCGTAGGAGCAGTGGAGGACGACGAAGCGCTGGTGAACAGGGTTCGTCAGCGGAGTGCGCGGGATGGAATCGAGGCTTCGTCGAAGCTGTGGGTGGACGACATCCGCTTCTGGAACGAAACGGAAGGGAACGCCATTGTGAAGTTGATGCAGGAAGCGCGCCTGTATCTTGTTACGGTGGCACGAGGAGTGCAGCCTCCAGCACTTCGTCGAAGGATCGTCTTGCCTCACACCACCATCCCGCAACACAAAATCGACGACGAATCGGACTTCAACGCTGCGCAAGAAAGGGCGTTGAAGGTGCAGACCATCACTTTGCGGGTGATCCAAGGGTGGGTCTTCAAGTCGACGAGCAGGCAATGGGGGTACCACGCTGCGTACGGGTACGCGCTGAACTACGCGGCAACTGACATCACTCGCGCGATCTGGATGGGGGAGGACTGGCGTGTATGTGTGAGCCCCATGGTGTTCCACACCAAGCTGGACATGGATATGAAGTTGCCACAGTGGTTCATCGGCGCGTACATCGAAGACAGGCACGAGAACGACGAGTTGGCGGCGTATCAGGAGGCGAGCATCCAGCGTCTGGTGGGGGCGTTCACGAGCGCAGTGAGCACGGCGGAGAGGATCGACGGCGGGCGATTGTCGCACGAAAGGTTGAAGAGCGTTGCTGAAGCGATGAGGATCATGCTCGCGGCTACCATGTGGCTCATGCGGATGAACGGGGACGATCATCGCGCGCATTACGACGCGTGGGTATTTGTACAACTGACGGCAAAACCGACGCTCATCGCATCCATGCATCGCTCATTCGACAAGCGTCGCCACATCGTGCAAGCTGCGACCGCCATCACGGACAAGTTGGCAAAAACCCCCATCACTTTGGCAGCGCCTCCATTGTACATCCCCGACTCGGCGTCGATCGGCGTGAAGTTCTCGCATGACGCCACGTTGTCTTCCCCCATGGAGGCAAAGAAGTTGGATTGGTTGGGCACAGGCCCCCCGAAAGACATCGACGACGACGAAGGGAGCGGGGGTGGGGGTGACGCGTTCATGGCGCTGTGTTCTCTCCGACGTCGCCATCGTAGGGCGGGATAGGGTGGTTGTCGCAATCCGCGTCGAGACCGTGACGAGGGTGAGAGGGGGGGGGGGGGGGGGTGGGGGGGTTTTTGAGGGCGTGGACGATGTCCGTGTTCGTCGCGCTTGTTGTTTTCTATTGCGCGGTGGTGCTTTCCCTTCACTTGCTCGAAGTCGGGTCCCCGGTCGTCGTGTCGTAGTGCACATACGTTTACGGGGGCGTTCTGGGAGAGTGGTGTGGATCGGTTGTCGTAGGGGTTTCGCACGAGCCTTTCGTCTTTTGTAAATGTTTATTCTCTTTTTTCAAACATGTGAAATCGATGTTCGCATTTGTTAAAGCGAACATGTAATTTTGTTGATTCATATTGTTGACGTGTACGTCGTGTTCTGGCTTCATGTTTATTCCGCTTTCGATTGCATTCATGACAACCATGGTGAGGGGTGCGTAACGGGGTCTGGGATGATTGCCTGAACCGATGTTTGATGACAAACTGAGAGATGTTCACACACGGCATTGCACATGTTGAAAGCAGACGCGGAAGTACAAATAACACACAACAACGTCGTCCAATTCATGCGCTTTTGATTCGTCCACAAACAAGAAAACAAGCAACTTAACATTGATACACGATACGTAACAATTTAACAAACTTCATAGTTGTGCGTCGCACAAAAAAAATCAGTGGTTGACGACAGGGTTTGCAAGAAACAAAGGCCCAGAAGACAAGTTCAATCCAAACTTCCAGAAAACAAAACACAAGATGAGTACTCCAGTACGCCACCCAGACACGTCACCCGCGGTGACAGCACAACACACGACAACCACTATCGGCACGTGCACGAGAGCCACGTCACCCCCGTCGACTGCGCCCTGGACTACGCCATCGCCATCAACCCCAGGCGCGGACACCATCGTCAAAGGCGCGCAGTGCGAAACAAAACTGTAAAAAACTAACGACACACGCCGCCCCTGGATGACAACCCGCAGCGAGACAGCCACCGTTGCTTCAACTCGCCAATTTCGTTAAACGGCCCGCACACACAACGACCCCAAGTAAAAAGACCACCTCTTCCGGGAAAAGACGCCTCCCGCATCGTCCTCCACGATTTCTCGCCTGCTCCCCGCGTCTCCCGCAACCAATTGTTGCCACAACCACGTCATCGCAGCCGACCGCTCCGCACGTCTAGCGGTGTTTATTGCGCCCCCATTCGCTCCGCCAGTGCGTCTCGTAGAACCAGCGCATCCCCTGTCGACGACTCCATACACATCGGCCTCAAGGGACGCTCCATCCCAAGATCCACCCTGCGACGCACACCGTCCAGGCGAACCTCCCACAATAGATTGTCGTCAAAGGGGATGCCCGCGTCGATGAGTATGTTGTGCAGAATGCAGACTGCGACGAACTGCTGCGGCAACGTCTCCATGTTCGTCTAGTGGGAGCGAAGGAACAACCTCCACATCCCCTTTAGTCTCCCAAAAGCCCTCTCAACTGCTCCCCTCGTCGTCTTCTGCTTGTTGTCGAAGCACAACTCCGACGGGGTTTGTGAGAGACCGCCGTAGGGGACAACGACCCATTCGGAGGGTGGATAACCGTTGTCCCCCAGCAGATGGCCGTTCGTCCGGACACCAAAAGGCAGCATGACAGGCACCCAAGCTGGACCAGCGACGTCGGCACGGACACACCTTGCTGGACCAACCTCCTCCCCCCCCCCCCGCGTCCGCTTGTCGATATATGAAAGTGGCCGCGGGAGGCCCCGAGGAATCGTCCTCGGGGAACAATTCCAAGGATGAGTGGAACGACAGCGCGAATTTCCTTGGGTGACGACGGGATAATTTCCTCGGGCCCGAGGACGGCCCGAGGAGTGTCGAACGAGAAGTGAGGAACATGAAACAGGTTTTTTTCCTTTTTTGTTTCTTGCTGTGAGGTTCTTGTAGCGCCCTGCCAGCCAGGCAGGGCGGATTCCACGCGAGGCAGCTAACTGCCTCCCTTCATTCAGTTCTGGACAAGTACTGTAGCATCCTGTATCGGACCGCAATCACAGCATAAGGGATGTTTTTTTTTTTTTTTTTTTGTCTGCTATTCGTGGATAGATGAGGGCCCTGACTGAACTGCTACCTAAAGGCAGCCCGAGTTTCAACTGCAATTGAAACTCGGGCCCTGACTAAACTGCTAAAACGCAGTTTCAAATGCAATTACAAACTGTTTTCGTGACTGCGCCGAAGTTACCCCTAATAATAATAATAATAATAAAAGTTTTATTGAAGCCTCTCCCCTTCAATTAAAAAAAAAAAAAAAAAAAAACTTTGGGAAGTTCGGGTTGAAAAAAAACACCTCTAGAGGTACTGCCAAATTGCTCAAGCCAGCAGCCCTTTAGGCTGCTGACATTTGCCATACCAATTCCGAATGTGATGGGTGGTGATGTGGCGATGCCTGGGACGTCCTGAGCATGCCACCAGGACAAGTAGGCAGCCTGTCAATGACAGGCAAGCTGCGATCTTGCACCTTGCTTATCCAATTGACGAACCTGATGATTTTGACTGACCAGATATAGATGAGAACAGTGCGGCTGAGGCTATTACCCATAATCAGGGAGGGTAGTATGATTGGGAGGGAGGGCAGAACCAGCTGGAGAATCTCCTGCTTTGATACCATTGTGACCTATCTGCGGGTGCAGGTGCGACAGGCTACGAGAGAGACAGAGAGAGCTGGACACAAGCACACAAGATGCAGCAGCTGAACCTGAAGGTGGGCTCTATAGACAGGTTGAATCTAAAATGAGCAAAAATGCTAGGCTACTTGGGTTGTCCGGCTGTGCAGCACAGCTGTGCACTCGGCACAAGTAGCCTGAAGGTCACCTGCAGAGGGCACTCCGTCCGGGCAAAAATCAGCCCTTTTTTTGGGGGGGGGGGTGTAAGTACGTTTATGTCACCTTTGAGTATCGAATGGGCAAAAAAAGCACGCGTCAGCGAAGAAAACAGCGCCGAGTTCGAAAAGGCAACGGAAGTACCGACGGTCGTGGTGTCAGACTGGGTGTCATATTTACAGGGGCCTGCCGAGGTGTCAGAGGGGAACGAAAAGAAAGAAAGAAAATGCCCAACGGATACTGTTGGACCTAAATCTCCCTTTTCGAGTTGGCGCGTGGTTTCTTTGCCGGCGCGTGTTTTTTTGCCCTTAGGGTTTCAAAACATGCCGCGTCCGCCGTTATTTTTATTTTTTTATTTTTAAAGTGGGGCACCTCTGCACGCAGCAGCCTTCAAGTTTGGGCCTCGTTAGACACTCCTTGGGGACGTGAAATCCACAAGGATGTGTTCGTTCCACCTGTCCTTGGGGACGAAATTGAAAAAGAAATGTGAAAACGCCACAAGGAAAATTCCTTGTGGCATCCTTGTGGCCCCAGCCATTTCTTCCTTGTGCCCAAGGGATCTCACGAGGTCCCTTGGGCACAAGGAATCCGCGTTTCACGGAGAGGAGAGGGCACACGGGTAGATAGACGTTACAGCTGAGAATCTGGATCGTGGGGGTACCCTATTGGCTGAAGGCCTGAAGCACAACTGATTTTTTTTCTTTTCTTTTCTTTTCTTTTTCTGACATCAGTCTTAGGAAATGTCGTCGGGCGACTTCTGCAAGGACAGGTGGAACGAAGAGCCCAAATTCCCTTACGAGCCACAAGGAATTTTCCTTGTGGCTCAAGGAACTCGTAAGGAGTGTCTAACGAGGCCCTTTGTTTGAATCTGGGCTGATTTTCTTTTGTAAAATGGTTCTAGGTTTTGCGCGAACCAGGCTAAAAAAAGCTCGAAGAGACTAAAGACAGACTCAAAACAGACTCAAAGCAGGTTGAAAATGGGATCAGAGAGACTGAAAGGGACCTGTCCACTAGAACAGACCTAAAAAAGACTAACACATATGATACATCTTTTAATAGAACAAAGAAAGCATCTCCCACACACAGGTCTAAATGACTCAAATATGGGAGCAATGGCCACTCCAGCTAATTTATTTATGGGATAACTGCTCCTGGGTCACACTTTAAGTTCAAAACGGCCAAAAAAACACTTAATGGTAACATCCTGGTCGTCCAAGTTCAAAACGGCAAAAAAAACACATAATGGCAATATCCTCGTCGCCCAAGTTCAAATCGGCAAAAAAAACGTCATTTTTTTTTTTATTATTATTTTTTCGTCGTAGGGTCGCACCGCGGCTGGAACGAACAAAAAAAAAAAAGGTGTTTGGCCGAGATGTCTCGCCCACAGCCCAGATTGGCCACTTCCGAGATGTCTCGGCCACACCCCAGATTGGCCACGGCCGAGATGTCTCTGCCACACCCCAGATTGGCCACGTCCGAGATGTCTCGGCCACACCCCAGATTGGCCATGGCCCAGATATATCCGCCAAACCCCGGCGTGGCCCGACCATGATTTGTTTTCTTTTTT